AACCAACGTTTTAGGGGACTTGGCTCATCACACCCAACTCAACAAAAAAAATAATAAATTAATTAATACACAAACACAAAGCACCTAAATTGACATTGATAGCACAACAATTCTTGGTCTTCCACTCTGCAAGAAGTAGTAGCAAAGCATCTTCAATTTTACACTAAAGAATAAGATACCACCACTCACTCCCCTCTCCCTCTTTTTTTCTCTCTCTCTCTCTCTCTCTCACACACACACACACACACACACACACACAGAGTAGAGAAAAGCATAACATTGAATGAAGTGAAAGCTAAGCTTCTTTAGCCAACTACTCAACCCAATGAAGCACAAAATATATTCCAAAATGCAATAAATCAAAATCATTCACCAGACAAGACTGGTAGGTATCGCCCAGTAAAACCACATTGGACTGTTGTTTTATTATAATAGAATGTGTAGATAGTTTTTAAATTTTTTGGTAAATTACTCTTAAGCTCATAAAATTTGAATTTAATACATATTATTATTTGATGCTTTAGAAATTACATTAATCCATCTATTATTATAATTATTTAAACAGAATGAAAATATTAAACTTATATACTTTTTTTTTTCTTACTTTGCTTTATTTACTTCTCTTTTACTTCTTTTTTTTTTCTTTTTTTCCCTATTTCTTTACTTTTTTTTAAAATATAATTTCTTTTATTTTTTTACTAAAACTTGTTGCCTTTTATGTAAGTAAGGGGATTTGTGAAATGAGACTATTAACCACATGGATAAAAATATAATTTTCAAAACTTTAGAGTGTGAGATGTAATTAAATCAAATCTCAGGATGTGTCGTATAATTTATCCTTATTTTTTTATTTTTTTATTTTTTTTAACCAGGTGTAAATATTCTTTATTGTACTATTAGATATTGTCGATCTGCCTTAGAGATGACAATTTGCATGGGCTTTTCCTATTCTGACGAGATGAGACTTGCTTATTCGATCCGTCCCACCTTTCTTTCATTTTATTAATAAGATATGTTTTATATATAATTTTTTTTTATGACTACATATCTTTATCTTGGTCAATTTATCCATACCTCCATTAATTTTAAAACTTACATAAAGCATGTATATAGTTGAATTGGTTAAATATAGTAAGATTAAAATAATAAAATATTTATATATTTTTCATTTTTCATATTTCTATTTTCATAGCTGTTATAACTCATTAATTATTCTCCTATGGTGAAAGAAAAATTAAAAAATTAATGAGAAGTGTAAAAATTAATTACAATTTAATAAGAATATCTTTTAAATTGCAAACACGGAGAGATAAGACCTCGTTTAGGAATTAATTATTTTAGTTAATTTTTTTACAAAAACATGTGTAAAAAAAATTAAAAAAATGACATAACAACTTATAATAATTGTTTTGACTAAAAATATATCATTCCAAACTAGGCCTTTTATTTTTCCTATGCAACTCCCAACCATTGGCGAGAATTGTGATCGTGAGAAATGGTGAAGGGGCTGGTGGTGATTAGAGAGGATGAGAGGGATTGAGGATGTAAGGCGGCATGGTGGGAAAGTTTCTGCTATAGTGTTCAATGAGAGTTATCGATAGTTAGGAGTTACTGACCAAAAAAAAAGAAGGACAAAATATATAGAGAGAGTAATGTAGACCACTCAAAAAAGAATACATTATTTTTACCTCATCTTAATTTTTAAAAATATATAATTAACTTTTTTGTCTGCAAATATGTAATTTTCTCTTTCATGAAAGCATGATAGGAACTTTGAGAGTTGTCCTGAGTGATTAGTAAATATACACTTCACACAATTGTTTAGGTTCAATTTTTGAATTCAGGTTATGAGAAAAAAATTTCTCATAAATTCTTTAGTCCTGGAGCCTATTTTTGCTCGGACAGAGAAAGAAATTAGTTGAGATGTGCATAAACTGACATGGACACCTTTTACCGTAGAGAGAAAAAAAAAAACACGAATAAATTATTACAATAATACCACAAATTCATACATAAAACTAAAAAAATATTCAAAATTTTACATTAATAACTTAAATTTATTTCATATATGAATCTCACACTTTATTAATTCATATATGAATCTCACACTTTATTAATTCATATATGAATCTCACACTTTATCAAAGCAAATTCATTTTTCAATAAATTCTGAGTCATAATTTATGGGACCTAGCTTTTTTGAGGTTATTATCAACATTAACACCTTCAATAATTTTTTGAGAAAAAAGACAATATGGGTTGGTTTGGTTTGAATTTCTGAAAAAAATTTGGAAAATTTTCTCTACAAATAAGTTTTTAAAAATAATCAAACCAAACAAATTTTTCCAAAAAAATTTCTCAAAACTTGTAAACCAAACAAGTTTTTCAAACAAATCTCTCTCTCACACACATCAAATCAATCACTTTTTCCAAAACTCACTCTCAAAATAATTTTCCAAAACATCTTTTGAAAAAAACCAAACCAAACAACTTTTCGTACTTTTTATCTCTAAAACACATCTCTCAAACACAAACCAAACATACCCTATATGTTCCAAATATATCTACGAACAACCCATGCGGAGAAGGTCCAGCTGGAGCGAAGTATATTCCAAATTTCACTCCAATAAAGACTAACCCCCAAAAGTGAGAACCCACACCACTTCACGTCCGCATTAATAACATAAAACCAGATTTGTTTCCACCAATCAAAACACAGTACCAATTCACCCTCCATTCTCATTGCACCTTACTCAAAATTCTTGACTTTTTCCCTGAAAAACATCGGGCACGATCGCACCTAACCCTAGCTCTAAAACATGTGGATATAGTCGCTGTTGTATTGGCCAATTTTGTAGATATTATTTCATATACATATAATACAGCTCTCTGACTCTATAGTAGATATAGAAGATAGATTACACGCGAGATTTGGATTTGGATTTGGATTTGAACTCCATAGAACAGAACAGGTACAAAGATCTTCTCTTTCCATAAATCTATGCATGTATATATGTATATATGTCTATGGATTCATTGTCTATATGTCTTGTTCGGATCCTGTCTTCTTTTGACTTTCTTTCTATAATCCGTTTGGTTGCTCAGAAAATGTTAAGTGTTGTTTGTTCGTTGCTAGTGATTTTGATTTCCTTTTCAGTTCCTTTGTATGGATTGATCGTTGTTTAATGTTTCATTCCAATGGGAGTTACCTAGTAGGGAATCTTCCAGATTTGATTAGATTTTATTGAGTAGTGTTTTTTAGTTTATCTGCAGATTTGATTTGATTATTTTTTATTTTTTATTTTTTTTCTTTGCAATTACTGGAAGTTTCTTGATCCGTCTAAATTGGAAAGGATTAGCCTTAAATTAAAGCTTTGGTGGTGTATAGTTGATGAGAAGTAACCTCACAGTTGAAAATCAATTATTAATTTAGGAAGTACATATTGTGCTTGTTTTTCCTTTTGTCAATTTGGTTTCTAATTAAATGTGAGGAATTAAAATGTTTATTATTAGAGTATTTTCTATTTAAGGCCCAAGGAAATACAAATTAAACTGAGCATATGACCAGTCTTTTTATTTATTATTTTTTTAATACTGATCTTGGGTGTGTTCAATCATATTAGCTTTTTAAGCTCTCAAATTCATGGCAATTAAGGAGGCATATTAATGTTTTAGCTCAAAATTTTAGTTTTGTTGCACTTAAAACATTTTCCTTTGAACTCTTAGTTAGCAAACATGGCATTTCAGATTATAGAAAATGACTAGTTAGAAATATGGAAAGGTAGCCGATGCTTTACTAGTGAATGTATCTGCTTCATTTCTTATTTGGCCCGATATGGTCTAGTAATTATTGATCATAAGAGAGTAAAAATTATTAATTAGTAGAATTGTTGTATATTTATTTCTTCAAGTTATGGAAGAACTTGTTCATAAGTACGCATTTTCACCATAGAAGTTGGACTACATATGTATCATACATCCAAGGGCGATTTAAGTTTTTATTTTTTAATTTTTTTTTCAGAAAAAAATAAAATATGTATTATACCTAATCTAAATCATAACAAAGCTCCAAATCTCCTTCTTTAATCCTAAATTATATTATATATTTTTTTTACAAAATTGTGTACATTGTAATGTAAACTTTTTAACTCTAATTAATACTACCATGAAAGGATTTTCTCGAAAAGTTATTAGTTAATAGATCAAAGAAGAAGAAGAAGAAGAGATTGTTAAGTTATAAAATACTTATTTTACATGACTAATTGTATATGTTATTGAAAAACAAATAAATTTAAAGGATAGATTCCTGATGATGACTATGTATGTTGATCATAGGAATATGGCACAAACATTTACTCATTCAATTTTGTAATATTGTGATACAAAATAGACGCTCAAGTGCTCAACCAAGGCTTTTAATATAAACATAGATGGGAAACCCCAACAAGTAACTGTGAAGGGGGGTAGATGTCCTCAATATGGTCACTCTAAATCATTGACTTCATCCAATTCACTTTTATTATGTATGACTCTTGAAAATACTACTTTAAAGTGCGACAAAATTTATAACCTTTTAGATTTAGTACCTTATAGGACAGTCCAAAGTTTTTACTCTATTGGAAGTCCAATTTGTTAGAACATTTAATGATACAATTGATTTCATTGTATTTATGAAGATGTGTGCTTTTTATAGTAGGGTATAACTAGAACTGGTAGTGCTCAATCACACGCATCAGATGTGTGGGAATATTTTTTCTGTCAAAGTTACATGTATGGAGGTTTGTCTTCTTAAAGTGATGCTCTCTATTAGTTAGTAGGTGTGGCTTTATGGTTACTAATTACTAAAAAGTGAGCTGTATGAGTTGCTACAATCTCCGTTATTTAATTTTCAATGTTGATAGCTCAGCTCATAAATTACAGTGATGGTGTAATATTATTTTTTTTGGATAAGTAAGTCATATTATAACCAAAAAAGGAAAAATATACAATGAAGTTTAACACACAGCTTTTGATGGGAGCACAAAAATAAACAAAATAAACTACTCCATCAAAAAAAACAAACTGAGCTTATAGAAAACAAGCACAACATTCCCAACAAAATAAGGATTCAGAATTTCCTTCTAGCATTCTTCAAGTCATGAAGTTTCGCTTAAAGTTTTCTTCTGTTATCCTCTTTTGAAGTCTTCCCATAACTAGGATCACTTGGAGATGGACTCCCTCTATTTCTCAACTCTTGACTTGAATCTCCATTTCCTAACTCGTCCATATCACACGATTCAAGGACATCAAAGGCATTAGATGTTGATGGTGTAATATTTGAATACACAACAAGGGACAAAGATCATCTGTATATCAGAAGACACTCCATTTTTATTTTATTTTATTGCAAAGTTACAGAATAATGGTGAATGTTAGATTTGGTCTAAGAGATTAAAGGCATCAGTTGTTTACTAGATGTTTGTTACGACACTGGTCGTTGCTCATCCATTGTGGTCAAAATACAATTTCTAAAGAAAGGAAGAGATAAAGAAAATCAAGAAGTGGGAAGGAAAGGCGTCTTGATGAGAACTTTTACTTAAATAAATAATAGATTTAATTATTATATGTTGCAAGAAAATTTAACGATCTTTACTGTTAGTCATTATGGCAGTGCCCTAAGTTTGTGTCACAACTTGTATTTTTTATAGTTAAAGAAATGACCATTGATCCTATCTGTTGTTAGATGCTACAGATACAATTGCAGATGTTTGTTATATGCCTGCTCATTAAAAGAGTGTGTCACACTTGTTCATTAAAATGAAATATCTATACCAGCTAAATTGTATTTCGATTTGAGTTTGTGTGATTTGGATGGCCATAATCAGTTCTGTTTGTGATACTTATTTTATTAATATGATTATTGTTGTTCCAAGTCACCTTGTCATCGTTAGTGTAGAGAAGATATTTGGCTATTTGGCTATTTTTAGTTGTTATCTAACCGTAAACATTTCTAAGATAGTGGTGTGCCCATGTCCGACGTGCTGAACACCGACACTCATCAGACATTTATCAACACTCATTGTACAGTTCTTGACAGACACTTCCAACACACGTTAGACACATGTCCAACCAGGGGTGGGGGAGCATGGGCCCAAGAGGGGCACATGCCCCTTCCCAACTTTCTATAATTTATATTTTAGTATAGGTTTATAAATAGTTCTTCAATTTGCCCCCTCTAAATTTAAATATATACTATTATTTTTTTCTTTATTTTTATTTTTTTCTATAATTTTGCGTTGTTCAAATGTTTATTTTATGATAAAAGCACCTTTATGATGTTATAAAGTCTACATTTAAATGTTTATTTTCCATTCTTTTTGATAATGCTTGCTAATTTATTCTTATTGATATTTTTTTCCTTTTGTGACGATGTATCTACAAATATGTAGAATGATTACTTGTTGTTTGATAAAATTTCTTAATAAAATACTTGCTTTCTTTGGAGATAGTTATTACAGTCTAAGTTAATGTTATGGTTAGATGAGGGTTAAGTTTGTTAGGCTCACAGTGGGTCAGAACACTGTTGTAGATATAACATTTATTTTACTATTGCCCCTTCTGAGTCAAAATCCTGACTCCGCTACTGTGCCCCACTATGTTTTAAAACTTTTTAAGGCTCGAACTTGCTTTGGACACATGTCTGTTGTGTTTGTGTCGTGTCATGTGTCTTTGTCCATGCTTTTGAGGTTGTCATTTCTAGGCCTACGTTTTCTCTGTTGGCAACACTCATAATTGTATATTGTGTTAATGTGTGGCTATGTGATCTTCGTGATATAGATTCTTGCCATTACACTTGGGCCTTGGTCATGTTTTCATTCCCTCTTGACACTTATAGCGAGGTGCATCGGGATTTGTCTTCTTCTTTTTGTTTTTGTTTTTTTTTTTTTTTTTTTTGGGGGGGGGGGGGGGGGTTCGCTTTTTTCTTTTTAAAGTCATAAAGAACACCCCAACTAAGTACAAGGTACATTGATATTGCAGGTGCTATGAAGATGAAGGTTTGAAGCCTGAAGTATCTGTTGGGGAATATGGAAGTTTGCCCACCCCTTAATTCTAATGTTGGCTTAAAACATCGCCCTTTGACTCCTTTTAGGGTTTTTAGGGGTTTGATATGTTTAGTGATTCTTCTTTTAACTGCGTTTATGTTCTTAGTGTATTTTGCTCCTATTGTTGTATTTTTGTTACGCTTTTTCAGCATTCATTCAAGTAGGAAAGCAATATATTTCCTTCTTGGATTTTGGCTATCTTTATGGCCGTACTTATTTGAAAAGATAAATAAAACTAAAGTTGTCTTTTCTGGAGAAACTGTTCCAACAAGGGAACGTGTTTTACTTATTGCCAACCACAGAACTGAGGTTGATTGGATGTATTTATGGAATCTTGCTTTGCGGAAGGGGTGCTTGGGCTGCATCAAATATGTCCTTAAGAGCACTTTGATGAAACTACCTATCTTTGGCTGGGGTTTTCATGTTTTGGAGTTCATCCCAGTGCAGAGAAAGTGGGAAATTGATGAGCCAATTATGCACCAAATGCTTTCAAGTTTTGCTAATCCTTCGGAACCCTTGTGGCTTGCTGTTTTCCCAGAGGGAACTGATTTTAAGTGAGTTCTTATTCCTTGTTCTCTGTACATGCACCCTTCTAGAGATTATATCATTTATTGTTTTTTGTTCTTATAAAGTAACCTAATACTGTATTGATGCTATTGATATTAAGTTAGCTTTGGCGAGCAAATAGAGAGGTTTGAAAGTTATGGAGAAATCATGGCATCCATTTTCATGTGATATTCTGTCTGCATCTTTTATCCATCAAGGGCATGTTTTCTACTTGCAACATATCAGTTGTCAATGCTATGGACCATTGTCATACTCATATAAGATCAAATTTCTTCCCTTCTTTTCAGCGAACAGAAGTGCAAAAAGAGTCAAAAGTTAGCGGCTGAAAATGGATTACCTGTATTGAAGAATGTTTTGCTTCCTAAAACAAAGGGTTTCTATACTTGCTTGGAAATTCTGAGGGGCTCCTTGGATGCAGGTTGGTATTTCTCTACAAATGTTGTTAGTATTTATTATTGCATTCATTTGAGCCGTATGGAAGAACAATATTATTGAAAAACCACTAGTTATTAGTTCAAGTGGTATCTCCCACACTATATGCTGCAATTTCCTATGGAAGGACACAGCAATCCTTGGTTCTTAATTGCTTTGCAAGCATAGTTTTCTATAGCTCCTCCAAATATTTTTTACATTCTTATTATTATTTTATTACAGTTTATGACATCACTATTGCATACAAGCATCAGTGCCCTTCTTTTGTGGACAATCTATTTGGTTTGGATCCTTCGGAAGTTCACATTCATGTTCGTCGTATCCCTATTACGGAGATGCCAGCATCTGAAAGTGAGACTACTACTTGGTTGATGAATACATTCCAGCTCAAAGATCAGATGCTGTCAGATTTCAGTGATCATGGTCATTTCCCCAATGAAGGAACAGAAGGAGATCTTTCACCGTTGAATGGCTTGGTAAATTTCACACTAGTTGTTGCTTTGGCAGGCATATTTGTGTTTCTTACTTTTTTCTCAACTATTTGGTTTAGAATATACGTAGGTTTATCTTGTGCATACCTTACTTCTGCCACATATCTCAATTTCCAACCATTTCCAGTTCTAGGATTTGTTAAACCAATGTTTTGTAGTGAAAAAACCAAGAAGTTATAATTTGTCCTGAAACCCTTTTAAATGACAGACAATAAATTTTATCTCATTGGCTTGATTGCTCAATCTTTAGCCTTGAGTGTTTCTCTAGTATTGCCTGTCCTGTGGGCGAATGTTATGTTGAAATTTCTAGCATTCTCTACACTAGCCAATTATTCTCCACTGGAATGATTATTCTTCGTTACGAAAATGCTTGATCATGTCTTCTTTCTTGTTATGCACTTCACAGAGACACAGAGTGGGCTTATCATCCACAAATGGTTATCAAGTTTAAGTTTTCTCATGTGGTTTATATGCCATCACTACCTAATTTGGGGGTTAGGTCTCTTTTTTAAGCTCCACCATTGTAATTACTGTCATGGCTCTCATGATCATTGCTAAAATTACTCATCACCAAGGCTTTCATATGACATGAGTTTTATGAAAATTGACAGGTCATTTGAGGATGTACTTAGATTCCCAATGATCTTTTGGGAATTTTTCTTGAATTATTAATTGAACTCTAATTAAGCCAAGAGAACTGTTCAGCGGCCTCTGTGGCATTGGGCTCATTTGAACTGTAACATGATATGAGCGTATTTAAATTGCTTTCATGATGGCAGCCAAACGTTACTTCTTCTCATATATAAGAAAGGTTTACTCTAGCTATTTTGGATATTACACGGTCGTAACACTTGGGATTACTGATTTTCAAAATCTTCAGATCTTAGATCTTAGATCTTAGTTGGTTATATTCTTCTTGTCTATTGAATGTCATTGCCATCGAATGTGAGGTCATGGCATGGCTCAATTAACTTACCTTTTATTCCTCATTGAATATGTACTTCATCTCCCCTGTCCTGTTACAGTGGTAAAAGCATCTTATGATGCAGACATGGCTCCATTAACATCCCTAGATTATCATCACCTGCATTGTTACCTAATGAGGTAATAGAAAAGGGGACAAGAAGAAGTTTGCTAATTATGCACAACATTATGAATCTTTTCTGGGCATTTTACAGTTATTTTCAATCTTTTTTCAATTCCAATTTGCTTTGGTTGTTCATACACTATTCAAAATGCATATGTGATGTATTTATCAAAAAAATAAAAATAAAAATGCATATGTGATGTAGTAAAAAGACGTGTAGGTGTTGGGTTTAGTCTGCATGGTTAAACTGACTTGAAATTGAAATTGAACAGGGAAAAAAATTAAGTGATTTGGTCATCCACATTAGATTACAGACTGTAGACCACATAAGATTAAAGAGAAGGTGTGACCCAAATAGGTGGACAAATGCGACTAAAAGACTCGCCTTCATAGCAAGGTGTAATGGCTCCATCTTCCAAGCTATAGATACCCATGTCTTTCTCTCCTCTTCTTCCTCGCTCGAAAGCTATAGTTAAGTACCCTTCCCAATAATCATCGGTGTAGTAGATACAATTAGGCTCGAGTCTTGGGAATTTAGAGGCCTCCTCCACAAAGATGGAATCACCATCACCCACTAACAAGGCATTGTCTCCTAAGCTCTTCAGCTCTACAAAACTCCCACTACTTGAATCAATTTGAAATACTTAAAACTCGCTAGTCCCATAATCAAACTCCTCGAATCATGCCGCGTTTGGTCAGACTAACCAGTAGACGTTCATCTCTTCCATTTTCTTCTTCTTTTTCTTCTTTTTCAACGAGCATAAGCCATGGAATTTGTTGGAGAGGCTCATTAAAATTCTCCCTGGCTACAAATCGCCATGATTTGCACACTCCGCCAGAAGTGGAAACATCTTTCAACAAGTGATCTAAACAAGTAAAAATTTAGTATAACTGTGATACTAATGACATGATTTCACCAATAAACAATAAACCCTACATGTGAAGGGTGAACTCACTGTTTAGGTGCGACATATACATGGAAGGCATATGCATAGAAGGGTAAATGGTGAAAAATTATTAGACAATGATATCGATGATGTGATATCACCAACAAATGTGTGAAAAGTGAACCCTACTTTTTAGGTGCCATATATACATAAAAGGGTAAATGGTGGAAAAATATTTGACAATAATACCGATGACGTGATATTTCTATTGTATTAAAGTTTTTTTTGGATCTAAACATGGAGCAATGAGGAGAAGATCTTGTGGAAGTTCAGCCCAATTTCCCCCCATTTGATGATGAAAGCACCAGGACATACACAAATAGATATTCTTATGTAGGGGTGAGCATGGTCCGGATTGGAACGGATTAGGATAAAACCAGGACCAATCTGTTATCTACGGTTCCTGAAAAATCGGAACCAATCCGATCCGTTTAAATCTTGGAACCAATCCGAACCAATCCATTTCAATACGGATTGGATCGATTTAGGACCACGGATTCACATAATTAAATAACAAAAATATATATATATATATAACACTTTAATTTTATAAAAATATAAACATAGCGCTACATTAGTTCTACAATAGCAACATATTTTTCTATAATAGCGACATAATGTTCTAGAATTTAAACAATCATAAAAAAACTGGTTTCACCATAAATATTTAGACCATTACAAATTAAAACTAAAAACTAAAAAACAAAAGTAATAAAAGAAGATATTATACGAGGTTTAGGTTTGAGTTTAAATTTTATATAGAATAAGAGAAGATACTATGGGGGAGGATGTATAATAAAAATATAGACTATTTGTATACGGTCCGGATCGGTTCCAATCCGGAACCGTGAGATTCAATCCGGAACCAATCCGTGGACTACGGATTTTTAATTCTTCAATCCGGAACCGAACCACGGATTCAAAAAACGAATCCAAACCTATCGGATTGGACTGGACTGGATCGGATTACGGATTTTACGGATTTCTTGCTCAGCCCTATTCTTATGAATTTGAATTTGAATTTGATAGAGAAATCGTGTAATTCTAAGGATTGTTATAGCCTTCCAAGCTCCAACCCCGCGAGTTCGTATCAAAACTGGAATGGATATCGATCGGGCTGAGGCGGCGTTTTTATTTTCTTTTATTATTATTTTTTTTTATTTCATACGATGGTTTGGCCACGTTGATATATTACGAAAAGGATATATTTGGACTTGTGGGTTCTATGGATTTTGTTTTAATAGTTTTAATGATTCATTTTGAAAAATTCTTCGTATATATTATTCAGATGAAAAATTAAGTCGATCGATAATTGTAATATGTTTAATTTATTTTTAATGTCTCTAAAAAAATAGACTACACATGTTTTTTAAAATAAATTATCTATTTTTTTTTATAACAAAAGTGATATATTAAATAAATTACAATTATCAAATCAATCTATGTTTTTTGTGTGAATAATATTCATAAAGCATCTTATAAAATAAACGGTTCAGATTATAGTAACAAGACCTGTGATGGGTTTACAAGTTCGGACAAGTTATACATGATATATGGATTGATTTGGAAAGTGACTTTTTTAATAGTTTTTTTGACTAAAATATGAGGAAAAAATTGAAGTATTTGAAAATAATTTTTAATTTTTTTATAAAAAAAGGCCAAAAAAAAAAAAGAAGAGAAAAAAAAAAAAAAAACTTATCTTACATTATTATGTTGGAAGTGGGTTGGAATAATTTCAATTTAGTGTAGGCTTTTAAAAAAATTACAAATAAATAATAAATTTTTATAAAATATTAATAGTTTTAATTTTTTTCATGAATTTACATTAATAAGTGATAATTTCTCCAATTTGCTTTGCTTTGCTATGCTAAAGTACAAGCAGCACGAGATATGCTTGTACAAGCTTCATTATTTCAAACGTCCATGTGATGGGTTGGTGTTGTGTTTTGGTTGGGTGAGAATAGAAGAAAATTACTAGACGCTGAAAAATCTATTAATTTTTTTTATAAAATGTGTTATATATGTGGATTTTATATTTACGTAAGATATTTGATAAAAATTTTAATAAATCTTTTAAAAATTTTACAATTAACAATTAGGTAAATCTCTTGTGATCTAAAATTTGAGATGCTTCACTTTTGTAAAATTCAACTTTGTGATCTTTTAAATAATAAATCTTTTAGTTGGAAAACGGGGATACTATTGTGCCATAGGCACAACAGCAATTGTTGTGCTTTTTGTGGGAGGCCATCCTAAGTGTTTTTTGATGATCTGAACTGTTTATATTGTAAGATTCGTCGAATAAATCATCCTTATAAAAAATCAAGTTGATAGGATAGTTGTAGCCCTATAACGAAAGCACGCTTGTTTTTATAAAAATTAACAGTTAACATAACTTTCATAAATTTTTAAAAACAATTAGGATCTAATCATGGGATTATGAATATCCGATTAATTTAATCTTTTACATGAATAATATTCTCGATGAATCTTACAATATGAACAATTCAAATTATCAAAAAATACTCGGGACGATCTCCTATAAAGAGCACAGCAGTTACTGTCGTGCCTATGGCACAGCAGTATCCCCGCTTCCCTTTTAGTTGTCTCTCTTTTCATTAAGTCAAATCCCTTAATATTTATGTTTCAATGTTATTAATGTGATTTCTCTTACTATGTTAAAAAAAAAAAAAAAAACATAAGCTTGTTTGGTTTGTATCTCAAGATACAATTTTTAAACAAAATTTTTTGTTTGGTTCAAAATTTTTGAATTTTTTTTCAAAATACACATCAATCAATCACTTTTTCTCTCTCCTCTCTCCTCAATTATTTTTTTTTCACACACATAACTACAACAAAATATCAAATCATCTTAAACTCCCAAACTATTTTCAAAACGGAATTCTTTCCCACCAATCCGTGATCAGACTGGAAGGTACTGTTGGACCCGTATGAACCCACCACGAGTCTCGTTTTGATAATCCAAACCATTCAATATGTAGAACTCATCGAGTACCATATGCCTCTAAAAAATCACGTTGATTGAATATTGATAGTTATGTGATCAAATCAGATTTTTGTAAGCTATTTATTTTTCACCATCCATTTTTTTTCCCATACAAAACTAATTTGATCACATAGCTATCGATATTTGATCAATGTGATTTTTTACAAGCATAAGCTACTCGACAAGTTTTACATATTGAACGGTTCAGATTATCAAAACGGAACCCCTGGTGGACCGCCATGGGCCCAAAGTACCCTTCAGTCCGTGATTG